TCATAGGGTTAAATACAATACTAATAAAAAGAGGTATAAATCAAAAGAATAAAACACACTGATTAAGTACAATGATTATAAAGTCTAAAACATCAACGGTTATAAATAAAAAAACAAGGGAAAGGCTACCAATCGACTCACTTTTCTCAAAACCGTTCGCTGAGGTAACCCTTCGCTGCACTGTCTCTCGTTACTAAGGTTACAAACTCTATATCAAAAGGTCAAAAAAACTAAGGCGTGGCGGTGTAACCAAGCGATCAGCCAATCGCTGCAGTCGACAGCATGATCACGTGATTACCAGGGATGCGTCTCTCGGTTAAAGCATTGCAAAGCGGTAACTAATCAATGAATAAACAAACTATTAATCAAACTCCTGTCATATACACTTATACGCTTCAACTGAACTCACAAGTCGTTAATCAAAACACAAGTCCTAACGGCGTGGAAACGGAATGCAAAGACAAAGCTATCATAACACATTACTCTTCTGGCAAAAAGACGGAAAAAGGCTAAAACGATATACACTACTGAATTAAATATAATCCTGTCAATCATGAACAAAAGCTTGCGTTATCAAACAATGCGTATATAAGCGCACCACCTCTCATTCCAAAAAGACGTCAAAAAACGTTACAAAGGTGCTCTCAACTCAAAAAGCGTCAAAAGTATTCCGGAAAACACATAAACAAAAACAACTCTTAAAACGTCGGTATCTCTGTACTCGACAAAACTCAAAACTTTTAAAAACACGTGGGGGCATCATTCCCTCCATCATATTCCTTACTCATAAACTCATTAAAACACCATAAAACTTCACAAAACTCAAAACACTGTGTTGCAAATACTTGTCCACTGAAACGCGCTTAAATCGTTATAAAGGACCTCGCACGTCACTAAATATCACTTCAAAACAAAGATCTGGGCGCTTACATACATACAATTCGACACCACAAAAAAAAGGTAAAAACGATAATAAAAAGCAGGCAATACATTACATTACTGAGCAATAGTGTTAGGATTGTGAAAAAGAGGTCAACGTCTTGAGTTACACAGTGTCAGTTACAGTGTCTAGTGAGCAGTTCTCTAAGCAATACATAAATAACTAAAGTTCTAATCAAAGTCTATAAGCGTCTCCTCTTGTCATCGCATTAGTCCGGGTCGTTATTTCATCATCTTCTCTTTAATGTCGCTCAATTCTTGATTATTCAGTCCTATACGATACTCGTCCTTCATAAGGGGCTTCGAAGTCTTCATCTCTTCAGCGTCGTTCATCGGTGCCATACTGGTAACGGCGTTAGTCGTCAAGCGCAGTTTCCGAGTCGTCTCTGCCATGGAGCTGTTAGTTCAGTTCGCAAGAAAGACACACCTTCGCCATTTCACTTTTCTTCACAGGATCTCAATGTGTGTTAAACACCTGCCCGGGATCTTCACTCCGTCCAGGACTTCAAATAGCCGAAACGATGACAGATATAACACAGCAATTCGCTAATAATCAACTAAATAAGTCGGACAACAGATACGCAAAACAAATTCATCACATCACTTTGAACACGTGGTCGATTTTATTGTAAATGCTATGATGCCGGTGAGTTCAAACGACTCGAACCAAGACATTAAATGCTGACGTTATCGTCAATAATCGATGTCCCATTGGTACGTTATGGCCAAGAAAATGTGAATAAAACGGCTTTTTCACCTCCTTATATTATATTGCCCATATTTGGACTTTGCATTGTGTTAGTGTCACAATAAGTGAGCAGTAGATTTTATGTGCGAGGGCGTTACAGCTCGTGCAGTGATTTGACTTTTTTTTAATTCTAATACACACGTTCTCGATATCGTTGCAGCGAACTGAATATAACTACCACAGTTAGCTGGCGCACGCGTGATAATAAAATAAATGCGATATTTACTATATGGGGGCCTCCATCTTGAATGCAGCATAAAACTAAATAAGAGACAACTTGTGTAATGCGTTTTT